GGCTGAAGTCAGAAGAGAGCAGTGGTCTGGTATTGACCTGACCGACCTGTTCCGCTCCACCAGACAGGGAGAAACTGAGACTGGAAGAAAACATGCTTGAAATGTTTTTCCAGGACATCGACTCCCTTCCAGTTTTTTGTAGTTTTGAAGCCCTAGGAGCTTAGAAACTTAAAAAATTAGCTTAGCTGTTTTTAAAGACTTAGAAGCTTAGTTTAGCAATTTTCTTGATTTGTTCAAAAACGGACCTTAAAGTTTTTTGCAATTTTGAAGACTTAGGGACATAGAAGCTTAATATAGTTACTTTTTTCAATAAAATACCCCCAGCCAAAAATCGAAATTGTGTAGTTTTTTAATTGTTCAGAAAGAACCCGTATGCAAAAATGTTTTAAATAAAGTGGAAGTTTTCTTTTTCCATTGGAAAAACTTAGCACTGTGTTTGTTCAGGTAGCGCTTTGCGTCCTTGAAAAAGAAGAGATGGAGGAGGGCACCTGCCTTTAGAACTGCAAAGTGCAATGAATTGTCTGAATGGGCCAATGTATTGATGGTCTGTAAACATTTCTCTTATGAGCAACCAACAGGACAATAATCACACATATTGCTGACAAGCACATCTGCCTCCACAGGCTGCAGTAGTTGCGTGCCCAGAGAACATGCCAGAGGAATGTTTTCCAAGCTCTCACGCACATCCACGCCCTCAGCACTCGAACTGAGTTCCTGAGGCTCTTGCTCTCTTTCAGCCTTGGAAGCCTCAAGCTGGGGTGGCAAATGACAAGGTGTGTTTGGAAACAGCTCTGCCTGTCTTCTGGGGCGGAGGGATGTCACTCATGGGCTCCTTCTCAGCCGCACTACAGGATGGGCCCAGATACTTAGAAACCTGTCAAGGGAACACGGAAAGGAATAATGAGCTGTTTGCAGGGCAGGGAGGTGCTGCACGGAGACCTGGAATAATTAGAGGGCTGGGCAATGAACAGCCACATACTGAGCAAGTGTACAGATGACACAAAACTGGGACGAGCTGTTGACTTCCTCCAAGGTAGGAAGGCCTTGCAGAGACACCTTGACAAATAAGAGAGCTGGTCAGTCACCATATGGAGTTCCATATAGGACAGTTCCACGAGGGAAAGTTCTGGATTCTGCACCTGGAATGGGGCAATCCTGGATGTTCAGACTGGGGAATGAGATTCTGAAAAGCAGTGCCATGGAAAAGGACGTGGAGGTCCTTGATGACAGCAAGTTAAATGTGAGTCAGCAGTGCCCTGGCAGCCAGGAGGGCCAGCCCTGTCCTGGGGGGCACCAGGCACAGCATCACCAGACGGGCAAGGGAGGGGATTGTTCTGCTCTGCTCTGCACTTGGGCAGCCTCACCTTGAATATTCTGGCACTTTTGGGCACCATGATATAAGAATGATATTAAGCCATTAGAGAATGTCCAAAGGAAGGCCACAGGGAAGGTGAAGGGCCTTGAGGGGAAGCCATATGAGGAGTGGCTGAGATCACTTGGTCTGTTCAGCCTTGGGGAGAGGAGACTGAGGGGAGACCTCACTGCAGTTACAACTTCCTCTTGAGGGGAAGAGGAGGGGTAGGCACTGATCTCTGCTCTGTGGTGACCAGTGACAGGACATGAGGGAATGGGCTGAAGTTGTGTCAGGAGAGGTTTAGGTTGGATATTAGAAAAAGGTTCTTCACACAGGGGGTGGTTGAGTACTGGAACAGGCTCCCCAGGGAAGTGGTCACAGCTCCAAGCCTGACAGGGTTGAAGAAGCAGTTGGATGATGCTCTCAGATACGTGGTGTGAATTTTGGGGATGGTCCTGTGCAGGGCCAGAAGTTGGACTCAACGTTCCTTGTGGGTCCCTTCCAACTTGGCATATTCTGTAATTCTTCGTGCCCAAAAAAAGCTTTGAGATTGTCTATTTTTTCATCTCACGTCTAATACTCTTTAGCCTCCAACAGTTCAGTTACAGACTTTGCCCAGTGCAGTATGGGTGTCTTTGGAAGGAAACTTCTTCTCTATTACCAAATCCTGCCTGGTTTGTCTTGAAAATATGAATCATAAGACCCTCCTCTCCCTCAAGTGAAGGCCTAACTATTTGCCATTGACCATTTTGTCCTTTTCTATTCAGTAAACATCCATCCATGGTGCCCAAGAACCAAGTTAGTGCATGTGCCTGTTGGTTTATAGTCAGTGCTTCACATGCAAAAGCCCAGACTTTAAAACATCTAGGCAGTAATCTCTGGGCTCTGGTAAGGTTTGCAGTAATGGAAACAGCCCATAAAAGCATCAGTTTTGAATCGTTTCTTTGTCTTTTTTTGGGAGCTTGAACCACCAACTTTACTCAGTAGCACCTTGTCAAGTGTCTGACCAAGGTGAAGCCACCAGCAGTGCCAACAAGGAGTCTCAGTGGGGATGGACATGAGCAGGGCAAGAAGAAGGAGTGGGACATCAGCAGCAATTCCTCCTCAGGTGTGTGGAGCTGAGGGAGCCTCATCACAAGAGCTGTGGCCAACTGACCAGGATTCCTCAGGATGCTCATCTTCCAGCCAAAAACAGCTGCCAGAAGACTCCTGTGCACACCGAGGAGTCCTTTTCTCTGTGTACTGCAAGGCCAAGAGGAAATACCTCTTAATTCTTCTTGTAACTCCAGCATTAAGCATAGGAAAATGTGACAGTCTCATAAGAGTTTTCAGCAGCAGACTAATAAAAATGGAGGAAGAGGAGGGTTAAGGAAGGGCTTAATTTTCTTTACTTTGAGGGGGGTGGGGAGGGGGCAGATTTCTTTAGCCACTGAAAGGCTACAGTGTTCCTCAGGCTGCGGGTGGAAGGAGGTGAGTGTCTCCCTCTGCTTTGCCCTCATGAGGCCTCACCTGGAGTGCTGTGTGCAGCTCTGGGGCCCAGCACAAGCAGGCTGTGACTGTTGGAGCAGGGCCGGAGGAGGCCTCAGAGGGCTGGAGCACCTCCCCTCCACAGCCAGGCCGCGAGGGCTGGGGCTGTCCGTCCTGGAGAGCAGCAGGCTCCAGTGCCTGAAGGAGGCCTGTAGGGAACACAGAGGGATTTATTACATGGGTAGAGACTGACAGGAGAAGGGGGAATGGTTTTAAACCAACTGTGGGGAGATTTAGATTAGATACTAGGGAGAACTGTGAGGGTGGCAAGATACTGGAACAGGCCGCCCAGAGAAGCTGTGGGGGCCTAATCCCTGGAAGGCCCCATTCCAGGACAGGGCCCTGAGCACTGTCATCTGGTGTCCCTGCCCATGGTAGGGAGTTGGAACCAGGTGATCTTTGAGGTCCCTTCCAAGCCAAGGCATTCTGGAACTCTGTGAGGGTGCAAAGAGCACTCCTGTTACCTGGGCATGGAATGTTACCCAGTGATTGCCATGGGGACTCATGGACTTCTCTAGTTTTGGGGCAGAAATTGGTGACTCAGGAATGGGAATATTGAAGTGGGGGGATATTTGCAAGCCATCAGGATAGGCTTTTTCTTGGTGAGGCAACTGGTAAGACATCAGAGATGATGTCTTTTTCTTGATGAGATGCACTCAAGTAGGAATGGCCCACAGCATCATTCAATGCATATTACAGCTGTTTGTCATTATCTGTGCCCCATACCTCAAGGGAACATATACAGCATGGTACTGCAAAATTAGGATACCCTCTCTGATTCTCATTTTGGTGGTTTTGTTTCTGGCTTTGTTTTTCTGTGTGATACACATTCCCCTATGTTAAGTGAATCTTTGTTAATTTCTATCTCCCACAAGCTGCTGTCATGCAACAGAACTGTGTGAGGAGCTCAGCCACTGCTCCTCTTGTGCTGCCACTTCTGGAAGACGGGGGTGATAATGCTCTGTGTGGACTGTTGAGGCAAAGATTGAATGAAATGTTGGATATGTTCCTGAAGAGAAGAGAACCAGGGCACCAGCTGAATCTTACCTCACCGTGTTCCACCATAGCAGCCCATTTCATTCCTCTGCAATCTCTGATCTTCATTCTAACATTTTATTTTTCAGTTGGTGAAAAATTCATAGATCTCACAGGTGAATTTTCTGAGCCAATCCAACTGGCGATAGTTCTGTTGTGGTAAGCAGTGAATGGCACCCTTCTCTCCATCTTGCAGTCAAATGAGTCTTATCTTGTGCTCCCAGGTCTGTCTTCTGGCATATGCCTGAGCAGCCTGACCTCGAGGGTTGAAACATGGGTCTGATTTACCGCTTAAGACAGAGTTCCCAGTCAACTCCAAATGCACCCTTGAACACATCAGCATCTCTATCACTTGCAGAGGGTGGAGAGTAATCTAAAAGAGCATGTTGCTTCAGAACTCAGGGAGAACATTTACAAATCATGGGTAATGTAACAGAAGGAGATGCCATTTAAAGCTGAAGCTATTCTAGAGACACTGAAGACATAGGCCAGTGATTTAAAGAAAAAGCAAAGGAGAGGACAGAAAGTCTTTGACTTCACAAATACGAAGTGTTTAGCTGCAACACTGGTTTAAGTACACCTGTCACTGAGGTGCCAAGCATAACTGTAGTGGACTGGGGCACAAACTAGTTCTATTTATTACTCCAAAAAGTCCTTAAATAAGATCCAGCCCACAGTGTAGTTTATCCCCTCGGTTTTGGGTTGTCACTGCTGCCTTGTAAAGTAGAAACATCTAGCAAGAATAGGAAAAGGCCTCAAGCTTTTGTACGAAAGAATCTGCATGACCCAGCTCAGGTTCCACGAAAATAAGAGCAGACTTGGAGTTGGGTTTTTTCTTTAGCAGCTGTTCATTTAATACAGAGTGTTTATGGTTATCACAGCTGAATTTGCCTATTTGAGGGAGAGAGAGGGAATGAAACACCTACAGCCCAAAACCAGTTAGGGAACTGAAACAGGGGAGCAGGGAGGAGAGGCTTCAGGTGGTTCCTAAACTGCTTCCGTTTCTACCCCATTGCAGCAGCAAGACCAAAACCAGCAGCACCCACTTGTTTCCAGAGCAGCAGATAATTCAGTAGTGCTACTAATGAGTGACACTGAAGAGGAACCAGGAGATAATAATGGGTATGTGACAGATAAAATGTCTCTCTGAAGTCTAATTTCTGATACATGGTACAAACAGGGTTTTGCCAACCTTTAGGGTTCTGTTTGACTCTGTGTGAAAATTTTTGAGCTGGAATATAGAGGCCTGCCTTGGAAGAGCACTGATTTAAAAACAAAAACCCAACCAAACCAAAAGCATCAAAATCCAGTAGGAACTTTTCTTCTTTGTTTATGAAGGCATTGTTGAATGTATCCTAACTCTATGACTTGAGATACATTGAAATGTTTGGAGAACGTAATAGTTCTTGGAATAATTTTGTTGCTGGGCTGGGATGATGTTAAATCTGAATAGGGAATGTTTTAATTTCTGACGTTTTATGTAGTGGTAATCCTTGATGCACAGTGAAAGTAGTGACTGCATGTTTTTTATTGTTCTGTTCTCTGTAGCACATGGCCAACAGGTCCTGTTAGTTCTGCAATTTGGGTGGATGAGAGCTCAGAGGTAAAGATCCACATGTCATCCTTTCTGCTTTGTCGGGGGGGAGGGCCAGAGGGGGAACTGTTGGCTAATGTGAGGCGCTGTGGGCAGCTGGCTTGAAGCACAGACCTTGCTTTGGAGCTCCAACTAGCACGTCACTCCAAGTCGCTTCTTGGTGTTGTACGTAGAGGGAGAAAGCCTTGCCAAGATGGCACTGGAAGAACTGAGGGTTCCTTATTGTTCTAGGAGTAACTGGCAGATACTATTTCCCTGGTGCCAATAGTGCAGCAAACTGGAATTCTTTACTTCCAATTCCTGTTGCAGTTTCCTTTCTTCAGCAGCTGTTCATCTGACACAAAGTGTTTGTGGCTAACACGTCTTAATTTGCCGTTTTGAGGGCAAAAGAGGGAAAGTAATACTTTCAACCCAAATCCAATTAGGAAACTGAAACTCAGGAGCTTGAGAGGAGGGTCTTCAAATAGTTCTTAAGGTGCCTCTGTTTTCTGCTCTTTTGCAGCAGAGGGAGCAGAACCAGTAGCAACCTCTTACTTGTTTTCAGGGCAGCAACTAATTGACTACCAGTTTGAGTGTACTTAATCAAAATAAGAGGTCAATAGCCTACTATTCTTCCTCTGTGCTGTTGTAACTGCTTCCCTGAGCTGATGTTGTTATGCAATACCGGGGTGCAGACCAAAGTCTAATTGTGTTTTCTTTTCTCTCCCTTCCCATATGCATTGATGAAGCTTCCTGAAGGTGAGTTGACGTTTTACAGTTGATAATGGAAATGTCCTAAGTGTAATTATTATGTTTTGTTTGTCTTTTTCAAGAAACTTGAGGAGCAGGAATTGAAACTGCATGTAGCAAAAGGCAAAGTACAAATGCTAAAGCCTCTGTCCAGCATCTTAGAGAAAGGATCCAATCTGCATCTGATAGCCACTATCAGACACACTGGAAAATAAAAGTTGTGGCTGAATATTTATGCAGAAAGGAACTTTAATTTGGGGACACTTTCTGTAATTTTAATTGATTGGTGCTTGATTATTGTTGCATGGACTCTGGAGAGATCATTATTGCATGTAGTTTCTGAGAGTTAAAAAGCAAACAGTATTTCTTGACCCTTTGGATGTTAGAGACCAGGCCATTAAAAATTGGTCTCCTTTGAACTTGGGCAATATAACTCCATTCCATTGTCAAGTTACCTTAACTCAGGAGAGAGATGATGACAAGTTCTAAGGAGTCATTACTTTAAATCATTTTATAAATTCCAAGGACTGTTGTTAATAAGACTCATTTGATAGAAACTGCCTTTGAGTGGGGAAGTTTTGTTTAACACAGACAAAAAGAATCCAGCAGTTTAGCATCATACAACAACAAGGAAGCACAGTGGCTCTGGAATATACAGTTTTAGATTTAAGCATCTCTTCAATCACTTATGAAGTTTTCTGAACAAAGCACTCTGTGTTTTACCAGGTCTTTTTGTTGTGTATGTGCTATGTCACTATGCTCCTTGGAAACTTGACTGCAGTCCTCTCTCTCCAATATCACACAACAATTGTTGCCCTTCCTGGCCATAGGATTCCAGTAGACAATTTTAGTTAGAATGGGGTGAGGGAGTTTCCCTTTACAGGGCAGATTTATTCACAGGTAGTGTAAGTCTATAGAACTTACACACTGAGAATGTCTTGGGTCACCTTTTCAGCTCTTTGGAGGGTGAATAGGTCAAATGCTTTGTGTTGGTCCAGAAACGTCACAGTGTCTGGAAGGCGTCAGCCTAAGTATTTGGGAAACTAGTGTGTTTAAGATTGCTTTTAACCTAGGTGAATAGAGTTCATTTAAAATAGGAACCATTACAGACTATTTATGATAATGCATTTGAAGGATAGTTTCAGGGAGAGAGAGAATAAAAGATTTAACTTACCAAATTCAATTACAGAGTATATACAACAAATGAGAAATCTTTCACTAAGAAGCCATCAACATTCAGACAGCTCTGTACTGAGTAGAGATGATGAACATGAAACAACAGTTAATGATGTGCATGTGACTGCTACAGCATCTGAACAACAGGGATCACGAGAGAAGCAAACTGCAAGATCAAAGTATGTGTACCTCATGACCTACCAAAAACTGAATTCACTTTTAAAAAAATTTTATACAAACAGGGCTAAGTTATACTGCCACAGCCTTCACTTATTCTACTTATTTCCCTTTTTCAATGAGGGCAGCATCCTGTATTGTATGATGATCAAATGATACCATTTGCACTTTAGAAGAAAAAGGCAGCCCAAGACAGATGCATAGCTTTGCATACAATCTTAAAGATGGGAGTGGGGATATGGCAAGGAAGGGAGATAAGTCACAGGCCATAGCTCACAATGTATTGTCATTTAATTTTTATGCCAAGCTCTGGTAGTGATGTTAAATACAGAAATACTTTCGTTGGTATGGATGAGTCTTGGCATCATGAGACCGGCAGGCAGCAGCCAGGCAAATTCTGTGCTGGTTTTAATAAAGCTGGTGTGCTTTGAGCCTTTTGGATTACTGAAAGGCAACATAGGAGAGAATATAAAAAAGGAATATTTTGTTCCTTCAGTCTCAAGTTTCTCAGTTACAGAATGCACCTTCCTGCTCTGTTCAGGTGAGGCTGAAAGATCTCAGAGCTGCAGCATTTAACCAAAGGGTCCTTCGTGGGGCTGGAGCTTGCCATAGCCATCTGCAGCATTACTCGGTAGTGTCAGACCTCATTCCCTTCTGGAGTGAAGAGTTCCCAGAGAACAGCTAGATCCTTCAGTTACAAATCTGTTATTGATGACCTCTTGGAGATTAATGCTGCCCAGGGTTAGAGACTGCTGTTAATTCAAATCCTAGAGCAGGGTGTCTGACTGCGTCTTTCTCCCAGTGAAAACCAAGATGCCATTTCCTTTAGGACAGGGAGATCTGAACTCCTCATTACATGCAGCAAACTGAGAGACTTGCAGATTTGCAGGGTTCTTCACAAGAAATGCATCATGGCTATTCAGTGCAGTCAGATGATTATGTGACATTTTATGTATCAGTAACCCTCGATGTCCACTGATAGTAATGGCTGCTTGTTCTTTCTGGATCTGTTCCCTCTAGTGCACGGCCACCAGGCACTATTTGGTGTCCAATTTGCATGGATTTTTACTCACAGGTAAGGATTCACATGTTGTCATCCTTTCTGCATTATGGGAGGGGGAATGGGGCAGAGCGGGGAGCCGCCCAGCTGTTTTTTGTGGGATGCTGCGGGCAGCTAGCTGGAAGCACAGACCTTGCTATGGAGCTCCAAAAGTCACTTCTTGGTGATGGGCATAGAGGGAAAAACCCTTGCCAAGATGGCACTGACAGGTCTGTGGGTCCCCCATTATGCTAGCGGTAATAGACTGATTCCTGATCCTCCAAGTCCTATTGGCCCTGGTGCCAGCAAGAGCAGCAAACTTGAATCCTTTCCTCCCAATAGATGTTGTGGTTTCCTTTCATCCAGATTCTGCGAAGTGAACGACTGCTTTTGTCAACCCTGTGCGGCCACATCTTCTGCAGTCGGTGCCTCCCTGTTGCCATTGAGATTATCAGAGCTTGTCCAACCTGCAGCAGAGAACTCACTCACAGAGAATATCATCCCATTTATATGTGAATACTTCTGTTTCTCAGCATAGACTCAGATGGATTTCGGTGAACAGGTGGTGGAAAGACTTTTTGCTTCATGTATGCAGTTCTCGTTGTACACTGTTCCATTTTTTCCTGAATTTAATTCGAAATAATTATTAAGTATAGTCAAGTCTGTCTGCTTATCTATGTTGGACTCAGCTGGTAGATCTGTAACAGGTGGAAATAAAACTCTTGGTTGGATAAGTCAGAAGCATTCGTTCTTTTCATTACACTGAAGTCATTGATTTGGCGGAGAAAATACGCTAAAGGCAGAAGCTTTGTAGTTCTTGGGGAAATGTGAATCGTGGGGAAAAGGAAACAGGCACTGCTTGGGCTGCAAGGACTTCTATTTCTCAGGGCAGACTCAGCTGAGTCAGACTCAGACATTTTTTGTGAAAATGTCATGATTTCAGTGCCCTGAAGATTGAAAGAGCAGGAGGTTGTGTACATGTCCAAAGAAAACTATTCCCTTGAAAGGTAACTTGTATATATCTAGACAGCTTGTTTGTGGTCCAAGCTGCTCCTTGTTATGCTCCTGGTTGTAAGGTTCCATTGATGCCTGCCAGCTGATGACAGGAGCACTGTCAGCTTCTGTGAAGCTCCCCCCTTCTGAAAAGCCTGTAAACTTAAGGGCAATTGCAAGAATATAGCAGTGTAAACTGCGGCGTTCAACATTTAACCTGCAAAATAGAAGGGGCTTTAAGTAACGAGGTAAAGACATTAAGTAACTGCTGAGGAACGCAGGACCACCTTTTGCCATTGCATTCACTTTTATCTTTACCATGACCATCACCATTTGCCTTTTCCATTGCAAAAGCAAATCGTGTGCAGGGGGAACGAGGAGCCAGCAGCAGCTCCTTAGGCTCAGGGTGCTGACATGGGTTGGCAGCAAGTGTCCCTGTCAGTCACAGGGAGTGACACTAGACATCGGTAGCGAGTGCCGATGGCATGTACCTGTCCATATTTCTGGGAGAAAGCATCCTGCTGAACGCAGAGCTCATTTCTCTCACTGCCTGCGGGCTAAGCGAGACCTGCACTTCCCTAGCTTTGGGTTCAGCGCTTGCAAACATCTCCATCTGCCGGTTGGCCGTGCCGGTTGGCCGTGGTACTTCACAGCTCAGAGGCTGTCACTGCTGAAATACCCTTCCCTGCGTGGGAGCCCTGCGCGAAGGCTCGTCTTGCATTTCTCCTTGAAAAAATTCTTCTATGTCATCAGAAGAATTTTCAGTTCCTGGAGAAGGGAACCTCAGGATAGAATAAACTGTCATGGACTTCAGGCATCGTTAATGTGGCGCACCCAGGGCAGACCTAAGAGCATTTGCAGTCAGAATGCCAAATTTCTTGCTACTTGGGGAGACAGAATTAAGAGACAATGACACTGACATTTCTACTCTATTCAGAGTAAGAAATAAAAATTTGCTGCAAGTTGTCCTATACAAAAAGCACTACTTTCTTCTGCAAAGCAACTTTTAATAGGTATTTTTAGAAAGGAATTCTTTAGTTCTCTGTTGCAGTTTATGGATTTTATAGGTTGTATATTTGGGAAGCTGTAATTTTACTGCTTCCAGCAGAACTCATGGAAGTTCAATTAAAACTGCTGCTTTGTGGTTTTTTGTTACTATTTAAAAAACAAACAAACAAAACCCCAAAACCAAAACAAAATGAAAAACCAAAACAAAAAATAAGGAAGTGTGGTATATTCACACATTTCAGATGTAATTTGCTTCTCCACACAATTTTGTAATCCTTATTGTAGATTATGGAAGGTTTCTTCAGAGGTCAGGCAGAGAAGAGTGTGACCAGCACTTTATTCATGCAAGTTTCATTCTAGAGCAGTGTACAGCAAGGAGCTGCACGTTACCATCCCCAGTCACAAAGTCATCCATATTCTAAATTCCTAAATGTCTAACACTGCACTTTGTCATCAGAGAACAGGACCACTTATTTGTATTTTCATCACTTCCAGCCATACGTGTGCTTTGCAGAGGAGCAATAAAAAGCTGAGCTCCTCTTAACAACAGCTGAAGTTGTCCTGAGCTCACCCAAATCTATTACTTCGACTTTGGAAGACATATAACAGGGTCATTAGTGAACAGGAATGGCCAAGGTGCCACTTCTACAGTTCATCCAGTAGACAGCACTTTAATAGGACAATATTCTCTACCACTAGTCTATAGCACTGGTTCTTTGCCCACTATCACAGTACATTTGGATCTCTCAAATTTACAGGGCAATGTACTCTGTAAATGAAACTTTATTTTACAAACACACTAAGAAATGTAACAAACATGACAATCCCCTTTGCACAGGCTAGTCTATCGTGAATTCACTAATTCATCACTTATGTCATGAGATTTGTCACTCACAAGTTGTCTAATTCATAACTCTCAACTCATAACTTATTACTTGTAACTTTTAACTCGTACATCTATGAGCAACTTTAGTTACCTAACCAATACTGACTGTTTGTCTTGCCTCTTCCGTTACAGTGTGGGCATTCACTGAAGCACAAAAGTCTCAGCAGTTAAACTGCTGTTGATTTCTGATTTCCATTCAAAAGCATTTTGCATAAGCTGATTGGAAGCTTTTTTCTATACCGTTTCCATGAGGTAACGAATTCTTACAAAATGGCCAGACAATCAATATTCAATATTCGAAATCAATATTCAAAATGATGGCTGCAGAGGAGAGCAATCTATAGGTGATAATGGCTGCAAAATGGCCTTTTAGCTCTTTCTGGCCACCCCTCCTGACTGCCTGGTGACACCACTCCCAGCATGCCTCTGGAGTTAATGTGAACTGTGTTAGACAAACACCCAGGAGGAGCTGAGCGAACAGTCACACTCACACATAGAAAAGTAATGTCTCAAAATCACATTTGATTTTCTGTTGGGAAAAAAAATTAGAGAATAGTTTTGTCTTTTCTGGACTTCCTGAAAGTGGAGGAAGCCCAGATTCAATCCCTAGTTCTCCCTCATCTTGAGAGAAGCTAGGATAGGATGGCTCTATGTGTCTGCCATGATAATGAGGTAAGTCTAAAATCAAGCCAAGAAGTCAAGTCAGCAAGGTAAGGCCAGCTTCTGCAAGCGGCTGGGGTTGATATGGGCATAGCTACAGCATAGCTCAGACAGGGATCAAGGGTAAGAGCTGGAGCTTAATTGCAGCTTCTGAGCAAAAGACAGGAAGCCTCAGAGGAGGCATCTCACATCTTGTGCAACTATTATTCACGAGTTCAGTGCTATCCCAGCAGTCGGATGCAAAAGTACAACATGTATATATTTTTAATAATTCTTTTAGTATTTGTGAGTAGTTGGGGACTTATCTCTACATCCATTTATTGGGTGTGTAATAATGCAGTGTGACACATCAAAGACTTCCCCTATTCAGGTCACATACAGGGCACTAGCCATTTGCTTTCATAAAACTTAAAAGTCTTAAGTCCATTGTCCCTTTCTCAGATCAAGCCTACATCAGCCAATAAAGTAGATACTTCTAGGAAAGGGAGCACTTGTAAATAAGGTTTGCTTCTACAGGAAGCCAAGCTATAAAAATAGAAGTAGTTTCACTGAAGCAGATGGACTTGTGGAGTACATGTGTAGGTGAGGGGAGAATCAATCTATGGCACTTTTACTTAGGATCAAATGTCTGCTTCAAAGGGATTTATAAAGCTAAATTCATAGCTGCATACACTTCTCTTTAGTGGATCCTGAAAATCAAAAGCACGAGAATATGACATTGCACTTCTATTCTATTACTTTGACAAAGGTTGGTTGAGTCCAATGAATAAACATCTCTAAGAGGTAAAAAGTGGTAAGTACACAAACCATGCATATTTTTGAGGCAGGCAAAAAGGACAAAACAACAAACAAACCCAACAGAAAACAGAAGTGAGTAACAGGTGATACACTCATAACTCAAATCCAAGAAATACGAATAATTTAATTCACCTGTCTTTTTCTCAAGACAGGTAGGAGTTCTGTTCTTATTGATAATGTGTCTGATGCCTACCCAAGCCGTTGTGGATGCCTCTGGAAGAACATCCACAGAACAGCCTTCAGAGATAAGACAACTGCTTTCTTACCAGTACCCCATTTCTGCACTGACTTGAACTCTATATAGAATTGTGAATCCCTGGGTGGAATGAGGATTGCAAAGGATTAAGCTTCTGCTAATCCGAGCACAGACAAATACAAACTACTCAGATGGATAATCCATTTTGTTAGCCATGAAGGTATCATTTTTTGATTGAGCTGTCAGAAGGCTTAGCATGGTCTAAAAGTTAAACAAGACATTTATGTTAAGAAGATCCACTTGTCACGGAAAAACAATCTAAAAATGGTAAGGGGAGAAAATTGCAAAATTATCTTTAAACCAAACTCCATGGGAGCACTGAATTTCAGGATCTCATTCATTTTAAAGATCATGTCTCAATACTAAATGAAAGAATCAGAATGATATTCTTGACATTATTGTTTGAATTATTGTCATATTTCAAAACCCAAATTTGCTTTAGAATAAAGGAGAAACAAGCAAATATCAAAAAAACTTCCCAGGGCCACAGCTGAAGCTGAAAATAATACATCTGTAGTTACAAGAAGGTTCACAGCAGGTTACCATGCTTGTTAAATGTTTGGGAGTTTTTTTGTATGAGACTGAATGTTTTGCTGGGGTTAAATTCCGATTGGCTTTGGAAAGATTAATTCTTTCAATTTTCAAGAGCAAAAGCATTTAGCTGACAGGAGGGAAAGACCCACAGGTGAAACCCAGATTCCAATCTTAACTGTGCTAAAAGCAACATGAACTTATGACAGCAACATCTTGATTCCAGACCCACAAACTAAGATTTGTGAAAAGAGAGGCATGGGCTGGAGATTCTTTTCGCTTCTCAAAATCTGTGTATCCAATAACTTTATTCCTGCACAGTCCAGCAGCTCTGGAGTCCACACAAAACAAAGTGTACTGGCTTAGGGTTCGGGCTGGGGGGAG